ATAATGATGTTTATGTACCTGTTTTGTAATGCAATAATAAGCGTACATAGCCATGGCTGTGCCATAAGTAACAAAATAGGTAACAGGTTCCATTATATCCCAAGAATATTCCCACCATGTTAGTCGTGCCAATATGCCAAATTGCACTGACATTAAAGTTAGACCAACCCAAGTCATTATGTTTATTTTACGTTCCGCTTGGGAAGCTAAGTCCAGTTTTTGCTATAAAATACATATAAACCACAATTTGATTAACGTAAAATAAGACTTAATAAAAATATATATATATTCTGATAAACAATAATACAGTTAAAGTATGATATGTATAGAGAAGTTACACAAATAGAAAATTGCAATAACCAAAGTGTCAATTTATTGAAAGCAATTATAGCATTATAATTTATTATAAATACAGATTATAAGGGTAATCTGTAGTTAAAAGGATTGCGACCAGTGCCGCACTAAGGCTTCCTTATCTATGTAATCTTAAAGAGGGCAATCTGACAGGACACGCAAAGATTCTAGATGAAGTCTGGAACTCTCCGTGCCTTAAGGTCTTTGACAAGATGAATACAAAATTAGCTTTCTCCAGGGCATTCAAAGTGGTTATTAGTGACCGATCCACTTGGAGAAACAATGAAACTAACTTGAAACAGGGTTCACAATTATGGTATACTGATGGGTCCAGAATGGAAGATGGCAGTACGGGAGCAGGAGTTATAGACCGAAATTCCGCAAAGCAATCGCAATGGGAAAAACTGCTTCCATTTTTCAGGCAGAGGTCTATGCCTTAGAGCTATGTGCAAGAGAATGCATACGAAGGGAAACCCGAGGTACAAAAATATGCATCCTTTCAGACAGCCAAGCATCTCTAAAATCTTTAGCAAAATCCTTATTCCAATCAAAGTAGGTCTGGGAATGCTTTCAACTTCTCAACACCCTAGCATCGAGGAATTATGTTACTCTTATGTGAGTACCGGGACACGAAGGGCATGAGAACAATAAAATAGCAGAATTTTAACGAATAAATTTATCGTTTAAATTTATATGTTGTCTCGTTTGCAATAAAAGAATGCAATTGTGTAGAGACAACAGCTGAAGAACCGTTGCCTGTTAGCCTGTTATTAGTCTGTAATAATAAATTGTGTTATTACATATGTATATATCTTATTTATTACCTTTTCTAGAGGCTTAAGTTGATATTTCAAGTCTTCCAGTTTTTTTGTTAAGTCCTGTTCCCGTTCTACATGATATTCACCAACGTGTAGAGCTTCATAGAGCTAAAAGATGCACATTTTTATATTTTAATTTATATTTTATGCAGAATTATTAAAATATTTTATATAGTGTCTTGAACTGTAAGTTCAATGGTTTTAAAAATA